AGCTGAGACCAGTGTGTGAGCTGAGCACCAGCGTGTGAGCTGAGCACCAGCATGTGAGCTGAACACCAGTGTGTGAGCTGAGCACCAGCATGTGAGCTGAGCTGAGCACCAGCATGTGAGCTGAGCTGAGACCAATGTGTGAGTTGAGCACCAGCGTGTGAGCTGAGCACCAGCGTGTGAGCTGAGCACCAGTGTGTGAGGCGAGCACCAGTATGTGAGCCGAGCACTAGCGTGTGAGCTGAGCTGAGACCAGTGTGTGAGCTGAGCTGAGACCAGTGTGTGAGCTGAGCACCAGTATGTGAGCTGAGCACCAGTGTGTGAGCTGAGACCAGTGTGTGAGCTGAGCACCAGCGTGTGAGCTGAGCACCAGTGTGTGAGCTGAGCACCAGCGTGTGAGCTGAGACCAGTGTGTGAGCTGAGAACCAGTGTGTGAGCTGAGCACCAGCGTGTGAGCCGAGACCAGCGTGTGAGCTGAGCTGCGCACCAGCGTGTGAGCTGAGCTGAGCACCAGTGTGTGAGCTGAGCTGAGCACCAGTGTGAGCTGAGCACCAGCATGTGAGCTGAGCTGAGCACCAGCGTGTGAGCTGAGCACCAGCGTGTGAGCTGAGCACCAGCGTGTGAGCAGAAGGCACCTGGCTCTCACGGTGCCCTTAACGTGTTGCATTTCCTGGCTACCTTCCTCCTCTTGTTGGCAGAGGTGACAAGATGCGGTGTGCCCCTCCGGCATGCTTTGTGCAGGAGCTCATGCAATATTAATGAGTTCAGATTGTTCTCTGACAACGTTTGAAAGGTAGCCTCCAATTCTAGTTCTAATTTTTTTTGCAAGAACTAGAGTCATTGATCTCAGCACTTTTAAGAATAAAGATTAAATTTAATGGTTTATTAAGCCAAAACCCTGAGCTCTAAATACTGAAATTTCAATTACATGAAATAATTTTTGTCTAAACTGTAATTTTATAATCACAGTCCACTAAACTGATTGAATGAATCCAGACCTATTTGACTCTCTGTGGTTAATGAAAACTGTCATAAGCCAAATGCAGACTGGTTTGTGTTAAGTCACACGGTGCCAGCTTTCCACTCTTGACACAGAAGTGGAAATGTTCAGGGCAGCTGTGAGCCACTGTGGGACTAGAGTTAGGGACTTTTATATTAATGATGGAAAGCCAAGCGGCCAAGGGCATAAGATGACTCCCAAAACAAACAAACCCTGCAGAGACTTTATTCTGAAGATGCGCCAGCCTCGCAGAGGCCTCGTCCAGGGAAGACGTCTACAGACAGATGTAGTGACCGGTGTTGAGAGTCCTGGCCAGCACAGCCCTCCTCCGGGTGCAGCGGCCAGCAGGAAGGCGCTTTGGAACTCCGGCATCCAAGAGTGCTTCCATGGCGGGGGGACTGTGCCCAGAATCGCATTAACACCAGGGCCGGGCCAGAGGCAGGGCGCCAGTGCCCGTGCTGAGACCCGGTCACCTTCGGGGCGGTGGGGGCACCCCATGGCAGGACCGCCCACACAGAGCCAGCAGCAGAGCCCAGGTGACCTGGGCACCACAGGACACCGGCGAGGAGCACAAGACCGGCCAGCAGCCAAGCCTCATGTCCAGCAGCTCAGGAGGGAAAGATTGCGGCATGGGGAATGGGGGTGACAGTCTGAGCAGAGCAGACTGCGATGTGCACCCCTGTGGACGGCGGGAGAACCATAGACGTGCAGATGGACGGGAGCCAGGCGGGATTGTGTCCAGTGCGCCCATCAGGCTGACAAAGCCCAGCTGGCCCATGTTAGTCTAGGATCCCAAGGAATAACGAGATGTCCTCCATCTCACAGGAGGGGGATGTGCTCAGAGCTCACATGAAGATGTCCTCCATCTCACAGGAGGAGGACGTGCTCAGAGCTCACGTGAAGATGTCCTCCATCTCACAGGAGGAGGACGTGCTCAGAGCTCAC